CCTGAGTCCAGTTCCTTCAGCATCTCATCCAACCTCTCTATGATAGGTGAGCGAGACAGATGCCCTTCTGGCTGATCTCTTCACTTGGGACCTCTGAGGACACACACACACACACACACACACACACTCATACACCGTTTCTTCAGCAAAAGAAAACAAAGCCCTATGCTTATCACTGGCTCTCCTAGGGAGATTCCAGGCCCCACTTCTGCCCACCTGCGACCCAGCTCAGTGACGTGATGGGAAGGGCCGCGCTCAGAGCAGACGCCTGCGCTTGCGCACTAGGCTGGGTGTCTTGGGGAGGCTGCTCCATCTCTGACAGGCTGACCTGGTTCTCACAAAGTTCCTTCCAGGGTGGTTTTACAACTCAAAGAACTTTCTGGGCAGAGCCCTGTCTGTAGCAACATCTTGAGAAGCAAGAAGTATCGGCACTCCTGTGAGACCCCAGCAGACCCTCCTCGGACCTTATAAACAGAGGACGTGGGGGCGGGGTTCCTGGGTCTGCTTCCTCTGGTGTCTTTGCATATTTGGCTGTTCAGGGAACATTTCCGCAGGAATGGGTGGCCCTCCAGATGGTCAGAGAGGAAACTGGGGATCAGATCTCGCGTTTCAGGCCCTCCATCTGTCTGTATGCAGCTCCCCACCCTCCTTCCCACACAGGGCTCCCCGCCACCCCTCGGCCTCCAGTTCCCACGGACAGATGCCGTTTCTCAGCTGGCCAGCTGTCAAGTCCACGAGCTGGTGGCTCTGCCTGTCACCGTGTGACCCAGGCCAGATGGCACCTGTCAACATCAGCCGCCACAGCGCCATGACGGGAAGCAGCCTCACACGTCCGTGTGCGTCAGAAGTGGGGCCCAATCACGTGGCACCCAGTGTCTGTCCCGGCCCTGCTGTCCCTGCAGCCCCCGGGGCTCCTCACCCCCACGGCGATGCCGTCAGCGCGGCACCCACCTGTGTCCCCGAACTTCCCCCAGAGGGAGGCCCCGCTGTGTTCTTGCTGAAAGGACGAAGGCCCACAGAAAATTCCCAGCACTGGAAGGCTGTGGGGGCTTAATAAAGGTTAATCATCGTCATTGTACGCCTCAGAGTGATTTCTAGAATATCCGCGGGGAGGGAGAGGCAGGAAGCTTTTGACAGCAGCGGCTTGGCACCAGCTGGAGCACAGAAACCCTGGTTTGTAGGCGGAGGAGGGGCAGGCAGCTTCCAAGAGGTCCCGCGGAAGTTGGCCTCAGGGAAACGCCTAGGTCTCCAGGTGAGTCCGTACAGGTGGGTCACCCCCGTGCTCTCCCAGACAAGAGGGGGCCTGCACCCAGAGAAGGGTCCTGAGGGGCCCTGGCCAGGGCCAAGCAGCAGGAGACAGAGGCCAGAGCCTGTCACTCTCTGCAGGGCAGCCTTGCTCAAGGCCCCGCTCCCACCCAGGTCTCAGTTTCCTCTGCTCCAGCATCAGGGCGGCGGCTGTTGCTGTTGGTGCAACAAGCACCTTAGACATCACCTCATTCAGCCCACGAGGTGGGCACCGCCATTAACTTGAGCCCAGAACACCCAGGCAGCCTCCACGGCTGGTGGCAGGAGGCAGCCTTCAGAGTGAAGAGCAGGAATTTGGACCCAGGACATCTGACTCCACAGCTCTGGCCTGGACAGCTCCCCTCTGCTGCCAGCCAGGGCCCAGGCGAGGAACCGGTGCCAGGCTGATGCTAGCCTGAGCCAGACCAGAGACAAGTCTCAGAGGGGCGAGGGGACAGGTGCCCCCAAAATGAAGACCCACTGTCAGTGCCTACAACCCCTGGCAGCACAGAGTGGGAGGGCTGTGGCGAAGGCGTCCCTTTAACAGTTTCAGTAAACCGAGTAGCCACAGGGTGGGAAGTGTTCACCCCTCCTGCTTGGCAACACAGATGACCTACAGATCAGCATGACCCAGTCCTGGCTTTGGGGCCAACCGGGTGTCAAGGTTGAAATGTGAGGCCTTGCCCTGGCCGGTTTGGCTCAGCGGTTAGAGCGTCCGCCTGCGGTCCCGAGAGACCCGGGTTCGGTTCCCGCTAAGGGCACGTACTTCGGTTGCAGTTTGTCCCCAGCCCTGGTTGGTCGTGCGGGTGGCGGCCACTCGATGTGTCCCTTTCACGTCGATGTTTCCCTCTCTCTCTTTTCCTCTCTCTCCCTCCCACTCTGTACAAAAAATGGAAAAATGTCCTCGGATGAGGATAAAAAAAAAAAAAAAGAAAAGAAATGTGAGGCCTTCAGGCCACTACAGGGAACCTCAGCTGGGATTGGTCAGAAGCCAGGCACAGTGTGAGGGGAGGGCAAGGGGGCACACGCAGAGAGAGAAGGGGCAAGTCAGAGCCATTCTGGGGGGCCACAGCCATGACTGCCTGGCAAGGGAGGGGTGCCATAGGGTGTGCACTGGTGCAGGGAGCCTGGGTGACCGCCAGCCCGAGGCGAGGGCAAGTGACAACCAGACGCCCACATCTGGTGCCCCTGTTGGCAGGCAGAGTTCAGCTACTATTTGAGAGCTAAGCACTTTATACGTCATTCATTCATTCATTCATTCATTCATTCATCCATCCATTCATCTAATGTTTACTGAGTACGTGCAGATGTGCTGGGCACTGTCCCGGGCTTCAGAGTCGCAGCTATGAACAAGACAGACGTGGTCTGTGTCCATTATTTCATAATTGAGGACGGGGACAGAGAAGGGCTCCTTAACATGGCTGACAAGGCCCCTAAACCTAGTCTTCCCACAGGGATGCCCACCCCTTAGCCTCTCTTGCTCTCTGCCCCCTCCTCTGGCCAAGCTTTGGGCTGGCCTCTACTTTGTGTCATTGCCCATGATACTGCCTCCTTCAGTACCCCAAACTGGCCACTCTGCCCATTTAATTCAAGGTCTGCCACAAGGGGCCTGCCCTGAGTAACTCGGTGGGTGGGCAAAGACAGGAAGCCCGGTGTGACTTGGGGTCCACTCTGGCTCCCAACAGGCTACTGCCACTCCAGGCTCCTCCCCCGCCCCTGGCAGGCCCCCACCCACAGTCCTCACTGGCTGTGCAGCCTGGGGAGAGTCACTCCACCTCTCCACGTGTGTCTCCTCATCCGGGCGACGGAAAGTCCAGGCCCTGCTCCAGGGGGAGGCTCAGAACCACCCAGGCTTGGTGTTGGCCCCTCCTAGACCCCCCTCCTGCCACCCCACACCCTGGGTTACCCTGTTCTCACATGGCTGCTTGGGTGGGGGCCCAGGACCCGAATAGGGAGGCCAGGGTGAGCTGTGTGGACAGAGGTGGCAAGGGTGAAGACAGGGACTCAGGGATCCCAGGGGGGCTGCGCAGCCCCCTCCCCTTGGGTGAGTCCACACCTCCAGCTCAGGAGACCATGACGCAGCCCCAGCTCACTTGGCCTGGAAACTGGGTGCAGATGAAGAGAGAGGGGGAGGCGACAGAGGGAGGGTGTAATCAGATGCTAGTGTCCCTGACACTGTATCTCCTATTGAGCCAGAGGGTGGGGGAGGGGGTGCTGAGCAGGAAACACAAGCTGTAAGAAGATACTACCAGAGAGGAGGAAATGGAGAAGTGGAATGGGGTGGGGGGGGGTCTGTCCTGTGAGTCTCTGTCCATCTGTTTTTATGTGCCTGTGTCTGTGTCTATGCATGTTGATGTGTCCGTAGGTCTGCCTGTGTGTCTGTATGTGTCTGCATGTAGAAGCACCATGGGCATTTGTGTGAAGACCTGTGTTTATGTACATGCTTGTTTTATGTTTCCATATGTTTCCATGTGTGGTTGTTAGTGAGTTTGCCTGCTGCATTTTTGGTATCCATACGTGTTTGCACATGTCTCCAGGGGTCTGTGTGCATCTTGTATTCGTGTGTGCTTTGGTGTGACTACGGGTGGGAGGGGCTGGGTGACCCCCACCTCACCCACCTCACTGTGGCCAGGTCTAGGTTGGAGTCCAGCCCAGGTGGCAAATCTCATTTGGTGACTCACCCTTAGCGTTGGGGGCCATGGACCAGCAGGCGCCAACCACAGCCTGTGGGCTGTCACTGGGTCCTGAGCCTGCTGGGTTTGTAGCTGAGGAACTCTGTGTCCCCTCCTCCCCTCCTCCAGTGCTAGAGCCAACTGGAGCCACCCACACCCCACCTGGGGCCCAGCCAGGCCATGACAGCTCCCAGGCCTGCTGCTCAAGACTGCTGGGTGCAGCCACGCCAGGGGCCCACAGGGCCGCTCCCCAGACACCCATTCAAAGCAGAGCAGATGGGGGAGAAGCTGCTGGACCACTGAGTCACCCCTCTGCATGCTGGGCTGGCCTCAGCCCGGGGCTGCTGCTGCCTTTCTGTTCTGTGTGACCTTGAGCAGCTCATGCACCCTCCCTGGGTCCAGCATCCTTCTTCATAACAGAAGGAGCTGGTGCCAGCCGGCCCCAGTATGCAGGTGTAGTGTAGACTGCACAAACGCACAGGTGACAGGCGTGGAGTGGCAGCCCAGATTCTGCCTTGCAGGCTGAGGGCCCCCGTATCAGGCAACCACCTAGGTCATTCATTCCTGGTCTCACAAAGGGCCATTTCCACCAGCCCCATTGTTGGTGTCCAGCTGTCCATTCATTATGGACCCTCCATCTGTCTCCAGAGAGACCTCTGGGACTCCTCCTCCCCTCTCCTTTAATCCACCCAGTGTGGGGCCCAGAAGAGTCTGGAGACCAGGTATCTGAGTCTCTCAACCCCCCCCCCCACCAACCACCTCTGCCTCCTCCTCCCAGGCTTCCCCCCTCCATACCGGACCAAGCACTTAGCACAGCCCACAGGAGGCCCCTCGGCAGGAGAGGACACGGCGTCTCAGGGGCGAAGTGCCTTGTCCTTAGTGCCATGGCAAGTGCCCCTGCGCCTCCCTGACTCCGCCCCTCGCCCCTCCCCCCCGCCCTCCGCCCCATTCCCCCTGCAGTGACGGACACCTGCTCTGCTTCACTGCTCTTTATTTCACTAGGAAAGTAACTGGGGGAGTCCCGGGGCCCTGGGGTGGGGATAGGGACAGTAGTCGGCTCCTGTCCCGTTGGCCTGGCAAACCTGTGGGGAACAAAGCCGAGGCTGAGGGGCTCTGGGTGATTCTGTGCACTCACCCACCCCCGACTCTGGGGCTGAGTCCCCAGGTAGGGCTTCCTTGACTCAAAGCTTGGGAGGTGGGCTGGCCCTCATAGCCACCCCCAAACAGGGAGCAGCGCAGGTGGGGTTCCCAGCTCTTACCAGGCCTCAGGCTCAGCGGGGGGTGTTGAAGCGGCTGTGAGGTGCGGAGCGGTAGAAGGGGTCAGTTGAGATCAGGGTTCTGCAGGGAGGAAGGGGACCAGATGGGGGGCAGCGAGCTCAGGCCTTTTCTCCTCCTTGCCCCTCCCTGAAGGCCCGCACTCAGCCGGGCACCCAGCCGGGCAGCCAAGCCTCGGGCATGCTGTGCCTCAGGCATGCTGTGCCTCCGCGTTCTGTGCCTGCCTACGTGCTGTTGTCTGTTATCAGTGGGGTTTTCCAGGAACTGCATTCCGCAGAAAGGTGTCCCTGGTGAAGCTTGACCACCTCGTTCAGCTCTGGGCCCCGCCCCTCCCCTCCCCTCCACTCCCCTCCCCTGCCCCTCCCTGAAGGCCAGCACTGGCCTCTGGTCACTGGGGAGAAGCGGGGAGCCAAGTGGGCAGGAGGAACAATGAACAAGCCAGAGGAAATGGGCCTCTCAGAAGGACACACACATGGAGGGAAGAGGAGAGGCTGGGAAAGACCTGGAACCAGCCAAGGACAGTGGAGCAGGAGGGGGGAGCGGGGAGGGGGGAGGGCATGCTACCTTCCTACGTGGGGGTGCATGTGCCTCAGGCTCTCTGAAGGGTTGGGGATGGCCTCCATGTGGGTGACTGGCTGGTTGAGGGCGTAGCCACCAGGCTTCTGTGGCTGGATGCCACCTCGGGTCCAGCCTTCACGGTCTAGACCCTTGGGGATGTTCTCAAAGTACCTGCGGCACAGGAGGGGTTGTGGACAGGAAACCAGCCTCTGCCCATCTCTACAGCTGCTCTGTCCACCTCTACAGCTGCTCTGTCCATCTCTACAGCTGCTCTGTCCATCTCTTCAGCTTCTGCCCACCTCTGCAGCCTCTCTGCCCACCTCGGCAGCCTCTGCCCACCTCCGTAGCCCCTCTGCCCACCCCCGCAGCCCCTCTGCCCACCTCCGCAGCCCCTGCCCACCTCCGCAGCCCCTCTGCCCACCTCTGCAGCCCCTGCCCACCTCCGCAGCCCCTCTTCCCACCTCCGCAGCCTCTGCCCACCACCGCAACCCCTCTGCCCACCTCCGCAGCCCCTCTGCCCACCTCCGCAGCCCCTCTGCCCACCTCTGCAGCCCCTGCCCACCTCCGCAGCCCCTCTGCCCACCTCCGCAGCCTCTGCCCACCACTGCAGCCCCTCTGCCCACCTCCGCAGCCCCTCTGCCCACCTCCGCAGCCCATCTGCCCACCTCTGCAGCCCCTGCCCACCTCCGCAGCCCCTCTGCCCACCTCCGCAGCCCCTGCCCACCTCCGCAGCCCCTCTGCCCACCTCCGCAGCCCCTGCCCACCTCCGCAGCCCCTCTTCCCACCTCCGCAGCCCCTCTGCCCACCTCCGCAGCCCCTGCCCACCTCCGCAGCCCCTCTGCCCACCTCCGCAGCCCCTGCAGCCCCTCTGCCCACCTCCACAGCCCCTGCTCACCTCCGCAGCCCCTCTGCCCACCTCCACAGCCCCTGCCCACCTCCGCAGCCCCTCTGCCCACCTCCGCAGCCCCTGCCCACCTCCGCAGCCCCTGCCCACCTCCACAGCCCCTCTGCCCACATCCGCAGCCCCTCTGCCCACCTCCGCAGCCCCTGCCCACCTCCGCAGCCCCTGCCCACCTCCACAGCCCCTCTGCCCACCTCCACAGCCCCTCTGCCCACCTCTGCAGCCTCTCTGCCCTTCCCCAACAGAGGCCCTGGCCCCAACAGAGCACAGACTGCGTCGGTGTTGGTCCCCTCAGGCTGTGAGCTCATTGCTTGTCCCGGCCTCAGTCTCCCTGTCTGTAGGGCCGGCTTCGCAGCCCCAGATTCAGGCAGGGAAGGGGCTCACCCTTGGTTGTAGGTGGTCAGGTAGTGATTATCCATGTCAGGGTCATACGGGCTCCGGACATAGCCGGCGTTGTTAAGGCTGTACCCGGTGGGCTCCTGCAAACGAGGGATAGAGAGAGGGGACCTGTCAGGTGGGCAGGGGGTAGGCATTGTGGGTGGGGTTGGGTACCCCAGGCTCACCTTGTTCCCCACGGTCTCCCGGCCAAGCAGGGCAACATTTGTCTGCTGTAACCGCTGGGGGTGCTGGAACTGCCAGTGGCTCATGCTGCTGAGTCCTGGGCTGAGAGGGGGCACCTGCGGGGGACAGGACCACAAGAAGGGGGCTGGGTGGCCAGGCTGAGGTGGCAAGGATGCAGGGAGGTCAGGCAGAGGCCCCTGTAGCCACAACCTGCCCAAACCTGCCGCCCTGTCCATCCCCTCCAGCCACACTGAATTCAGCTTCCAACACACCCTCCCTCTCCAGCCCCTAGGTCTTTACCCTCCACAGGGGGTCCAAGTATCCTGATTCTTCCCATCCTCCAGGGCCAGCCCAAGTTCCAGAAAACCCTGTCTCCTCTCCCTGAGGGGCTTCTCGGAGCGACGCCACTTACTCTGGAGCTGAGAGTCCTCTGGTTCGCTCGGCTGAACGCGGTCTCCCTCCCGGAGCATCTGGCCAGCTGGGGCAGGAGCTCGTCCCCCTGAGGCAGCACAGCAGCCACTGGCACCGAGCGGGCCCTGCTGCGCCTCCCAGCCTGGCCTAGCCGCCCCACGGAGGACCCAGCCTGCGGGGCAGGCGCCCCTCCCCCAGCTCCACTTACGTGAGCCTGGGTCGTGGGGAGGAAGTCCGACTTGGTGACACTCCGGCTAGGAAGGAGGGCCTGGAATGAGGCCGGAGGAGGAGTGTCAGCCCCAAAGAGGCAGCTGCCCCTCGTCCCGAGCACAGGAGAGGGCTCACACAAATGGGTATCCCTGGGGTAACTGAGGACAGGGAGAGTTTGGGGAGAACTGAGAGGAGGCCACGACGCTGAGTGGGCACCAGCGGGCAGGGTTCTCAGCAGAAGGTTGGGTGACCTTGGTTGGCTATACAGCTTCTCCTGTTTAGACCTCAGTCTTCTCATCCATAAAGTGGGGGTATTAAAGGCAAGCTCTTTCATCGTATGTTTGAACAAAAGGTTCTGCAGCTTCCATCTTTTTAAAAAGCTAGGAATTCCCAGACTCGAGGGTTTCGATCTCCCTGAGATTCTAGGGGGCGGGGGCAGCCTGACTTACTGGGTCCCCAGGGAGGGCCTGGGAGGGTGCCTGGAAGGCAATGGGGTTCTTGGTGGACTCCTCAGTGAAGCCGGTCTCCTCCTTGGCACCGATTGATGTCTTCTGCAAGAGATCTGCAAAAGAGAGCCCTGTGCGTCCCGGCCACCTGCCGCCACCCACATGGCCCAGTGTCCTGGCGGGTGGAGAGGCAGCTGGCTCCAAGGAGCTGGAGGCCTGAACCCCCGGGATCGTGGGCACCGGGAGGAACCCAGAGTCCAGGAGCAGAAGGAAGGGTAGGGCCGACAGAAGTGGGCGGCTGTGGGCGGGCTCAGCCAGCCCTGCAGGGTGAGTGAACTGGCTTCAGGGTTTGGCAGTCCTAAGGCACTAAGGTCAGCTGGGGAGACGGTTCCCCAACACTGCTTGCATGTTCTTTCTTCCACTGGTGCCTTCTTGGTGCTGTGCGGGGCCCCCAGGGTTCTCTCCTCGGGTCTCTGCTGCGGCTGGGGGTGGGGAGCTGCAGTGGGAGGGAGGGATGAGCTCAGACAGGTGCCCACCTGGCTGGTTCGAGGGCTCCTGGAGATACTTGGAATTATACTCGGAACTCATGAAGCGTGGGCCCTGAAACACAGAAGAGGGTGGAATGATGAGGGACCCGGGGGGCGGGCCCAGAAGGTGGCCAGTGGCCATGATTTGTTCTTCAGAATCCAGCTGAGCAGCCCTGTGTGATAGAGTCTGAGCAGTGCGGGCCAGTCCGACATCCCTAACACAGGCTCTTCTCCGATCAGGCACCCCAGTGCCAGAACTCCACGCGAGCACAGTTTCCCCGCCACAGTGAAAACCAAGTCACCTCCCACACTGGACCCCTGGTACCGAGCAGCAGAACCCCCAGAATGCAGACCAGGAGGGGCCTAGAGAGAGGCGAGAGACCAAAGGAAGAAAATGGGTCAGTGCCCAGATTCGAGGGATGTGGGAGAGGGGGGAAAGGAGCCCGGGTGTAAGTCCTAAGATCCGCGGAAGGACCACTTTGATGCCATCTTGGAGGTCAAATCCTTTGCTCACCCCAGTTTTTTCTTGGTGCCCTGAGCCTGCATTTAGTCAGCTTCTTGGGTGAGTCCGTGCAGGGAAGGAGAAGGAGGTGGGTCACCCTCTGCCAGCCCACAGCCCGTCTTGGGTCTGCCCACTCACATGCCGGGAATTCTCCCACTCCGGTGAGCCCTTGCCCTGCTGCTGGTGGAGCAAGGGCACGTGCTTGGGCTCCAGCCCCGTAATGGCCTGGGGCCCGTAGTCCTGGGTGTCGAAATGGACCTTCCTGACCTGGAAGGAGGGCGTGACCCATCACTCGCCTTGTAAGGGGATGACAGGCACTTCCTGACTCTGATTCTGCCCTTGACCCCTACAGAGTGTCTGCACAGCAGCCTGAGGGCTCACGATCCCTTTACAATGAGATCGGGTCCTAGCCCTCCTCCTGCAGGATTCTTAGCACCCAGAGTAGAAACCCACGTCCTGCCAGCAGCCCACAGGGCCCTCAGCTCCCCACTCCTCTCCAGACCTGCCTCCTTGCTGCCCCTCCTCACACCAGATACCCCACCCCAGAACCCAGGGCCTTTGCGCCTGGAACACTTCTCCCTCCTACTGCTGGATTTGAGGGAAACACCAACTTCCCGCAAGTCTTTGTCTGATGTCCCCCGAGAAACCTTTTCTGATGCCCCTGATTTGCAGTGGCACCCTCTTCACTTCCCTGTCACCCCTACCTCTCCCCTGTTGTCACTTCCCCCAGATTTATCACTTGCAAATACAGAAGCGACCTTCAGAACAATGGTTGAAAGAATGAATGAGGGAATGGCGAGTATCTGGGGGGGGGGGTGATAAGAACGATGGCCATGCGAAGACGGAAGTGAAGAAGGTGGGGATGGTAATGTCGGTGGGAACGGTGATGTGAGCTTAGAGATGTGGGTGGGAAGGTGGAGACCATGGGGATGAGGTGAGGGGCTGGACTGGGAGGCAGTGGACTGGAGATGGGCACGGGGATGGAAATGGAGGGGGAGGTGAGGGTGGGGAAGGAGATGAGGAAAAAGGTGATAAAGGTGAGTGGACACCGCCCCCCAACCCCAGCCCACATTGTAGCTCCTTCCTACCCAGACATCTCAGCCTCGACCAGTTCTTAGCAGGGCAGCCCCACCTGCGAGAGGAATCCCCATTCTTTCCAGCCCAGCCCTTCTTCCACCCCCTCTTAGGGCCCCTCTCCCCTGGCCGTGGCCCAGCACTGACCTCCTTGGTAGGGGGCATCAAACCGGCCTTCTCCAGAGAGTAGCCAGAGGTGGTCTGGTACACGCTGCTGGGCAGGGGGCACTTGCCATCAGGCCCCTCCAGGGGGCGGTAACTCTGGCTGGTCACTGTCTGGAAATCGTCCCGGACTTGTTCCCTGAGGTGGAGCGGGAGCAGGCGCTGTTACCACCGGGGCTGCGATGCTGATCTCCAGCAGCCATCCAGCCCTCAAACCTCCCACCGAGGCCTCAGGAGCCCTTGGGCACCTGCCCCGAGTCCCCCGGGGCCCCAGACCTAGGTAGGCAAAGCTCGGGGTCCCCATGCTTAGATGCTCTTGAGAGCTAAGGCCCAGCAGAGCGGGGGGTGAGGAGGGGATATACACGCACCCCACGGCTGGACTGTCCAGGGCACTGAGACCGGCTTGGTACGAGACCACAGGCCGGTAATTGGATTTGTAGCCGGTGCCTCTGTGACTGCCTGTGCGGGGCTTGAACTCCTCCCGGCCTGCCGGAGGAGAAGCAGGGGCAGGACCCAAGGTCAGCACAGAGGGAGAGCAGTGGGCAGGCTCCCAGACTCCCAGGCGGGCCGCATCCCCGAGGGCCCACTCCGGGTCCCAGTGAGTAAGGCCCAGAAGCCTCGAAAGCCTGGCCCTTTGGGACTCTGGAGAGGGCACGGAGTTGACAGGATGGGGACAAGGTCAGTGTGGCAGGATCACAGGATGGGTTCGCGGGCAGGGACTACAGGGTGAGGCAAGCCGATGGTCGGGTATGGACACAGTCCTAGGGGCTCGGGGGGCCAGTCAGGAGAGTCTGCTGGGGTCATTCTGAGAGCGACAGGCCAGGGGGCTGCCGCTCTCCCAGCAGGGGGCCTCCCCCACCCTGCCTGTGTCCTGCAGGAGGCTCCTAGGCAAAGGTACCCTCACCGTAGGCTGTGCAGTAGCTGGTGGCGTAGAATTTCATGGGGTCTGTGCAGCCCCCTGAACTCATCTTCACATAAGGGGAGGCAACCCCCAGGGGGAGTTTCCCCATCATGACGCTGTGGGGCAGGGCCCCAGGGGCCTAGGAGGGAAGCACAGGGGCCTCTGCAGCCCAGCTGCCCAAGGGCCTCGGGCTCAGGCTGTGGAGACCACAGAGGTGGAGATCGAACCCACCCAGCTGGCCCCTTCTCCCAGCCTGTCCCTCTCCGCTAATACCCAACACCAAACCTAAGAAAGGACTAGTCATTGTTAACATTCATCTCATGTACACTGTGTCTCATTTCACTTTCCCCACACCTTATTATGGACTCCCCATTTTAAAGCTGAGAAAATGAGGTTCCAAGTGATGAAGGGTTAGCTCATCATACATGGTAGAGCCAGGACTCAGGCCCAGGGTACCTGAAGCCTCCACCCCTGACCTTAACTCCACACGCCATCAGTACCAGGTACGATGGCCAACCTCTGGCCAGTCGGGAATTCTTGGCTACTCTCTGGGCGACCACTCCCAGCCCCAGGCTCTTGTCTCTCCCTGGGCCTTGCCTACCTCCCACCAGAACTGGCTCTGCTCTCCTGGGGCTCGACCACAGCTGGCCCCACCCTCACCTGCCCTGCACAGTGGTTCTGAGGTCTGCGAGAGGCAGCAGGAGGCAGGAGCTGTTCCAGAGAAGCCTGGCCCTCCGGAAGGTGGCCAGGCCAGGAGAAACAGTGTGTTGCCTAGCAACCGGTGCCTAGCAACAGTGTCCCACGCCTCTGAAGCCCTTCTAGGGTCAAGTCCCACTGAGGGACTGACCTGGCCAGGAGTGAGGTGCCAGGAGCTGCCCAGGCAAGGCCCTGCCTCTCTCTCGGCCTCTCCTATGCCAACCTCCTCTGCCAGGGCCCAGCAGAGCTGTTGTCTGAATGACAGGAAATAAAAGATAATCCAGAACAATCATTCCCATTATTGAGTACCCACTTCTCACCAGACACTTTACATCCTTTATCTCCAGGGCTCTCAGTAGCTCTTCCAGGTAGCTATTATTATTCCTCTTGTCCCACGGGGAAAATGAGGTCAGACAAGCAAAGCAGCCGGAGAGCTTGCCATCAGAAAACAGAGCTGATACTCAGACGTAGGTGGGGCCAGACCTCACTCTTAGCCTCTCCGTTAATTACTGTTGGCTGTGTTCTGCTGGCACCAAATCTGTGCCCAGCTCCGCTACACACATGACCGCCTACAATCATCCCAAACGGCCCTGTGAACGGGGCACTGTGTTTACAGGCCCAAGAGACCGCAGCGGTGAAGTGTGGTTCAAACCGGATCTGAAGCCTTTGATGAGGTTCTCACCTTCCCCCAGGGCTGGCACCGCCCGCCGCACAGGGCTGCTGGCAGATTTGAGGAGAGAGCCGACTTGGCACCTGACACATCATGGATGCTCAGCTGTAAAAGCTGCTCTTCTCAGCCGGATCTTGCAGATGGGAAGGGTGAAGCCCAAAGACAAATTGCCTGGGCCTCACGGTTGCGGAGGCAGAGCCTGGATTAAAAGGAGGGTGAGCCAACTCCCAACTCCCTGCTCCTGCTGGGAGGGCCCATTTGCCCCACGTTGGCGGTGTTAAGGCTTGTAAACGCTTAACAGTTGGATCTCTAGGGAGGTGGGGGTGGTGTGGGGGAGTCCTGATCAATAGTGTTTGCCAATTTCTAGGGAATAAAGACACCCATCAGGACTGCTTTCGAACTATGGAGGCAGTGTCACTAAACTGGGAGCTGGGAAGCTGAGTCGCCCACTGGTATACCGTATTTCCCCCATAGAGACCCCACTGGTATACCGTATTTCCCCCATAGAGACCCCACTGGTATACCGTATTTCCCCCATAGAGACCCCACTGGTATACCGTATTTCCCCCATAGAGACCCCACTGTATACCGTATTTCCCCCATAGAGACCCCACTGGTATACCGTATTTCCCCCATAGAGACCCCACTGGTATACCGTATTTCCCCCCATAGAGACCCCACTGGTATACCGTATTTCCCCCATAGAGACCCCACTGTATACCGTATTTCCCCCATAGAGACCCCACTGGTATACCGTATTCCCCCATAGAGACCCCACTGGTATACCGTATTTCCCCCATAGAGACCCCACTGGTATAACGTATTTCCCCCATAGAGACCCCACTGGTATACCGTATTTCCCCCATAGAGACCCCACTGGTATAACGTATTTCCCCCATAGAGACCCCACTGGTATACCATATTTCCCCCATAGAGACCCCACTGGTATACCGTATTTCCCCCATAGAGACTCCACTGTATACCGTATTTCCCCATAGAGACCCCACTGGTATAACGTATTTCCCCCATAGAGACCCCACTGTATACCGTATTTCCCCCATAGAGACCCCACTGGTATACCGTATTTCCCCCATAGAGACCCCACTGTATACCGTATTTCCCCCATAGAGACCCCACTGGTATACCGTATTTCCCCCATAGAGACTCCACTGTATACCGTATTTCCCCCATAGAGACCCCACTGGTATAACGTATTTCCCCCATAGAGACCCCACTGTATACCGTATTTCCCCCATAGAGACCCCACTGGTATACCGTATTTCCCCCATAGAGAACCCACTGGTATACCGTATTTCCCCCATAGAGACCCCACTGTATACCGTATTTCCCCCATAGAGACACCACAGCCAGAAGTCATCTCAAGGTTACTTAGGAATGACAGAAAAGGGACATACACCATGAGGAGGGAATGACTTTGAAGTACTTATTACCTTCACTTTTAATGTGGCCAGGTTTTCCTTTGACAATGGCTGAGTTCAACAATCAGCTTGTAAATTTCCTGGAGGTTTCACCCTCTGCTCCCAAGCTAAGCAGAGCACCCCTGCCCTTAGGGGAGAGTGAGTTATCAATGCAGGGGAGGAGGGGAAGGGGCCCGGCCGCCCAGAAGATGCCCTGCTGCACTCTCCTTGAGGTGACCGGGCCTGGCGGGGAGGGGGTTTGTGTCTACCTCTGACCCCCACAGAGAGGCCCTGAACTCAGGTGCCCAGGGGAGGTGTGGCAGGCACCTACCCTCCAGGGTCACGATGCTGTTCGGGGATCAGAAGCTGAAAAGACAGGAGTGAATGCACAGAGTCCTGCCCTCCAGCCAGGAGTTCCCCACCCATGAAACACAACACAGGGTGCCATCTCCCGTAAGAGCGGGCCACCAGGATGAAGGGAAGGAGTGGTTTTCCTCGAAGTGTCTGTAGAGAAGTGGTCACGAGCAAGAGCTCAGACTCTGAAGCCAGCTGGCATGAGCCCTGCCTCTGCCACTGAATAACTATAAGACTCGGTGCCTGTTACTTGTGCCTCAGTTTCCCCTTCTGGAAAGCGGGGATGATCATGGTAGCTACGCATGAGGTTGTCGTACACATAAAGCACTTAGCCCAGTACCTGGCACATTAATATGGTAGGTGCCATCTTAGAGTTAGGAAAACACTTTGGCAAAGGCTTGGGCCCAAGGGTTAAAACCAGGAATTCCACAAGGCTCTACCTGCAGGGAGCCAGGGTCTGAGATCTCGCCAGTGTGATGTGGCCAAAGAAAGCCCAAGGCAAGAGCCAGAGAAGCCTTCACCTCTCCGAACCTGCTTCTGCACCTGTGAGGAAGACACAGCTCCTAGCTGGCAGGGCGGTGGTGGGTTTGAAATACCCTACGCGGCAGGCTTACCCCAGGTGGAGATGAGGGCAGCTCCACGGGCAAAGGTGGGGGTGCCTGGCCAGCTGGGGGCAGGAGTGAATGGTCCCCTGAGGCTGGGCACTGTGGTGGGGGCGCTCTGCTAGGGAAAGCAGCCTAGGGGTAGGGGCGGTCAGGGTTTCCTTTTAGCAGGGTGATGAAAAGTTTGAAATCCTCCCATAGCCCCGTGAGGGAAGCCCCTGAGGGGCCAGAGACCGCCTGGGCTGGAGCTTACAAAAAACTTGGGCAGAAATTTTAGAGGCGGAGGCTCCCCCCAACTGAACTCCCCATTAAGGCCACCAGCTGCCGGCTTCCTGGTTGCCTGTGGGTTTTTTGCTGCGTAGCGACACCCAGCGGTATTGACTCGGAACTGCAGGCGATGCAGCGGGCGCTGCCGTCATAAGGCTGGGGGACTCCTGGAGACGCACAAGGGAGCCAAGGGACTAGATTGTCCCAGACACAGGCTGGGGTGGAGCCAGCTTTGACTCTGGAATTGCACCAAGTCTGCTGGGACGTGCTGGAAAATTCTCGGTAAAGTGCTGAGACTGTAGCAGTGGGCTCAACACCACTTGGTTCCAAAGGGGCAGATGGCCCTGGCTGGAGGGGTGACCTCCTTCTCCTTTCTAGACTTGTCCAGTCCTGAGCAGTAAGATTGAGAAGGCAGGGCTACAGATAGACAGTGGCTGGCCCTGGACACCAGCAGCTACCTCCCTTCTGAAGCTTGGAAGATGGACGCTCAGGAACGAGCAAGAGGACATTTCGGGGCCCAGGCCCAATGAAACTCCCTAGCTGAGACCAGTGGGGGCAGGCCCTGAGAGGTGTCTGAGGCCAACGTACACCACCCTGTAGCTGCTTAGTTCCAAATGGGGACAGACATCTGCAGTCTGTGCTCTGGGCTATACGAGCTTCAGGTCCCCAAAGGAGGGTCAACTCGGGCAAAGGAGACCGCACAGCACCAAGCACGTCATGTTGTTCTGGATGACGTGCGTCTTTGTGGCTGGCCTCTGAGGGCAAGGCCAGGCCTCTCCTCAGGAAGAGACAGGTTAAAGGACAGAAAAGATTTCGACCACATGGAACCTTCTAATGGGAACAGGCTGCCCTGGGGGCGGGGAGTGAGTTCTCTATCCAGGAGGCATTCAAGCAGAAGCTTGAATCTGCTTGAATCTGGACGACAACAGTAGCAGACTCTTGTTCGGGGTTTATTAGGTACCGGGCACTGTTCTGAACTTCGCACCTGTAACATATTTAAACCTCACCACTGCAAGGAGCGTCCCTGTAGGTGGGAAGTTCCGGCACCTTCATTTTATAGATGAAGAAAGGGAGACACAGAAAGGCCGCGTGGCTTGTCCACACG